AAAAGAAAAAAAAAACATATTTTAACATGATAATGGCTTTAGTAAAGCCAAGTACTAAAATATACAGTGTAAATATATTTTTTAAAATATGTTTTATGTTTTTTTCTTTTGTTTTATCTTGAAAATAGCGTTTTATTCCAACAAAGTTTATGTTAAAAACGCTGGGCGGAAAAAAAAATTTCTGTTAAAATCGCTATTAGCAATAGCGTTTTTTTGGCAACAAAATTTGAACTGAAATCGCTATTAGAGATAGCGTTTTTTCCGGGGAAAATTTTTTCTTAAAATCGCTATTACGAATAGCGTTTTTATTTTAAAAAAAGTAAACCCTAGAAGCGCTATTTGTAATAGCGACTTATTAATCAAAGTCGCTATTTGTAATAGCGATTTTACTGTTCACCTACTTTTACGCTCCTAACAGTGAAAGCGCGAATAGTAATAGCGTTTTAACCTAGTTTTGGAAATCCGTCAGAAGTTGGCCTAGTTTTGGAAATACGATACAAAAATGGCCTATATTGGGAAATGGCCCCTTTTGCTCACCATTGAAACGTACACATCTCAGTGTATAGTATTTCACAAATTATTGTCAACTCAAATCTTGTGCTAAGTTTAGCCGAACCCCAAAACAACCCACCACAAAATTTCTCATGTATATTTATTGCATAAAGGTATGTATATCTCTGTTGGTTCATTAAAGAGAGTTAGGAGGACAATATGTTGTAAGGTCATTTTTGTCATTTTATCAACCGTGTTAACTTGGAATAGCCATAAACATAGAAGGACAGTATAGTTTCAAAAACTATAAGAAAAGTTGTAATTATCAGAAACTTTGAAGTTAATGTAATATACTATACCCATATATATTTTGGTTTAGATCATTGCAATACACCCAAGGAAGGGCTAGTTAGTAAATTACAATTCACCTCACACATGCCAGATAAAGTAAAAATGAAGAAAACACATTCTGGCATCAACTTTTTGTTTTACAAAACACATACTTGGAAAAAAAACATGTCATTAAGAGATAGCAGTGGCAGTGATGGTGGTGTTAGTTGTTCTTGTTCTTGTTCTTGTGGCCAAGGCAACAAGGAAGTGTCTGTAATCTCCTGATGGAATGTTCTCACTCTCACATATGGCTTCACTTAGTTCCATTCCATATTTCTTCTTGAAGACCCTTTCAATCTCTTCCATTTCTACCTCACCCCTATTCATCATTACACGTGTCAAACCACCCTTATCTGTTGTTATTCCCTTTATGCTTGCATACAATATCTGCAAAAAATTCATGCGTCTAAAGTTAACAGCAATACTAGGCACCCATGAAAAAGAAAAAAAAGAAAAAAAAATCTAAAAATAAAGTGTGAATCGGATTTATTTATTTTTTAAGTTTGAATCTACACCATACTATACGCTTCATTTTCAGGGTACTTTCAAATATGAACACATATTTGTATATATAATTATAACATTCACAAGTATTATGGCTTGAAAAATTAAACTTTGGTTGTTTTATTTATGGAAAATGAACAATATTTTAGAAAGAAAAAAAAAATTATAATGAGTCTTACTTTTCTCATGAAATTTCTATGGAGTCCAATTAACACTATGTTGAGAGGGCTGATTAATGTATTAGTAAGACTCGATGAAAATTTCATGAAGTTACTTTGATGATGAAAAAAAAATGTAGATGAAGTATTAAATTTCATATAGTGCAAGGAGAAATATAATGGTTTTCATATAGCCACAGAAATAACCTCTTCAGAAATGAGATAAAATTGCGTACATCTTGTCCCTTCGGATCCCACTTTAGCAGGAGACTTGTGCACTAGGTCACTCTTTTTAAACTATGTACAGATAACATTTTTCCTTGTCACACTATATAACCTAAAAAATCTAATAAGAATGAGAAAGGAGACAAAATACCTTTGCATAATATTTAGGTGGATTGTATATGCATTTCACAACCACTTTCAAAGCATCCTCAAACTCCCCATAGTTCCCATACTTGAGTGACTGTAAAAAAAAAAAAATAGAAAGAAGAAACCCACAATTTAAATCCATCCCAATCATGGTGTTAGACTAGGAAATAACAAAAGCTTTACCTTTGTATAATCATGGCCATAAATATGTTTGTAGCAAGAAAATGTGAGCTTGAGCTGAGGAATGCTTCTCTTACTGAATATCTCAAGCACAACAGCTTCATCTATGGACCCTGACATTCCCTCCCCTGTTTGGTAGAGCCTCTTAGCATCACATTTGGCAATGTGTTGGCTAACATCTGCATGGTGGGCTTTGTGTGATGCAACCAATGCCACCAAAATCTGGGAAACCAAACCCACACCTTCTTTGTAAATAGGAATACATACCTTTGAATGAATAATACCCAAATGGTGAAAATTAAAGGGGAAATGGAAAATATATTTACAAATTAATTAAATACTAGTAAGACATTTGCCCCGCGGACAAGTGAGAATTGTATCCCAATGACAAATGTGTCCCAATAATACAATTGTAACTTGCACCAATAATTTACAATTACGTATTCTTATTTTTTGTTTAGGATATTTCTTGAAAATTAAAATTTTTGTTGGACAAAAAAAACGTAAAAGGGACGACTAGTGCGTGACAGCTCTCCCAGTTGGGAGCAAGGTATGAGAGACTTGAACAAGCCCGATAATGCAAGGTACCACAATTTGAAAAGTCCACAAGTGCTCACTCAAAATAGACTAGTCATAGGCTAACCCAACCCCACTATTAACATAATGGCAAGGACCCATTGATTTGACAATAGTCTCATTCTCAAGTGTCACCTCATAGATTCAACCCATATCCTCCTAATCATCAACCCACATCAAAGTAAGCCTCCACCAGAAGACCACCCAAAATTAAACTAGATTATATATTTATATATTTCAAAAAGTATTGGAACATAGAAATCGATTACACAATCAGACACAATTCTCTCATATGACATGAGTCTCACACCCAGGTGAGAGAATTATGTCCAATTCTGTAATTGAATTCTGTGCAAGTAGAACAATTGTATATTTTTTGCAAGCTTTACCTTCTTGTATGGATGGGGAGGTTCAATGTTGACGATATCCTGGTCCATTTGCCTCCTAAACTTTGCTTGATAAGCTTGCTTGATTAGAACAACAAGGCTTGATTTCCTACCCACAAACATTTCTACAAGTACCTTGTAGTTGACCTCACTCTGCTGCTGATCAAGTGCTTCCCTAACCATGACAGCCTCACGCTCAATTGGATCAAGCATCCACATATACAAGGCTTCACACACATTCTTTTGGGTATTGCTCAATTGACTATTCTTTTGGAGAAGATCAATCAAATCTTCACCATACATTGCCAAGTATGTCTCTCTAATTTTCTTGATTTCAAGTTGGGTTTTACAAGCCAAAGCTTGGGCCAAATGGGTTATCCTCCCCAATGAATCATGAATCTTCTTGCACTCACTCTCACAACTCTGGTTCATGGTGGTCTTTCAAGGGTGTGATTGATAAAATGTGTATGTAAATATGCTTTTTTTGTGTATATATGTAGGGAGCATAGAAGAGACTTGAGGATCAAGAAAAGGGTATACTTTATTTTCTGGGCAAAGGGAAGCATCAAGAATGGAAGAAGGGAGTGTTTGGTAGTGGATTCAAGGGTGGGGATGAAAGGGAGAGAAAAAGCAGAGTGATGTGGAAATAGTTTGTAGTGTTGTAGATGTGTCCAAGTGAAGTATTTGTCTTTTGTGAGAATTATGTGGATTCCTTGTAGACTGTGAGTCTGAATTTTTTTCTCTTTTTTGCGTAAACTTTTCAATGCCCATTCCCAACTCTATCAGCTTTAATTTTTTTTGGAACATATCATGAGTTGAAAATATCATGGGTTGGAAGATGGGTGAGAACACATTGATCTCTCCTAAGTTTGCAAAAAATATAGTATGCTTAACAGTTTCGATATAATTATTTTAAATTCTCTTAAAATTTTAAATTTACATAATACTAAATCTCTTTTCATAATTCGTTAGTTATGTAGATAGAAAATTAATGTTATCATTTCTTTTACATTTAAATATAAATTTTTACATGATTATTTTTGTATTTTCACATTATTTACATTGATATCAATCAATTTAGCCACACTAAAAGGAAGCTGATGTAATTATGTCAAAATTGTGGAGCTACTTGAATTTTCTTCAAATCTTGAGAGAAGTCGGTGTAATTTCCCATTTTTTTTTGAGGAGAAAGTTAGAGAAAAATGAGATTTAGGGAAGGAAAATTATAGATATGAAAGGAATTAATTTTAATTAGAATCGAGGTGAAAACTAGGAAGAAATTTACAAAAGGGTGAAATTCATTTTTGAATTTACTAAAAGAACCCTTTTTCTCCTATCTCCCTCTTTTTTTCTTTTTTCTTTTTTTCTCTCTCTCATTTGCCTCATTTTGCCTTTATTGTTAGCCACCACCGCCACACGTCAACCGTTCACCCCTAGCCTCTTTCCATACCTTAGTTGCCCACTTCTAACTCCTCCCCACCTACTCCTTCACCATCATAACACCCCGAAGCCCTCCTTTACCACCACTATGACACCCTCACCTCTTGCAACTCCCTTTCCAAAATCCTAGAATCTAAATCCCCTAGAGCACCGCAACACCAAATGATCACCCTTCTCTCTTACAATGAGGTTTTGTAGTAGCGATAGGCATTTGTTAATTTATAAGGAAGGGTGACCATGGTCTCCCCTAAACTTTTTGAAATTATCAATTAACCCCATATGTTATGAATTATTTTACATTATATACAGAATAAATAATCTCTAATTTTTTAAAAAATTCTTCTATTAGTTCCATATATTGCATAAGTATTCATATATTGATCCCAAAGTGTTTAATATAATAGTACATAATTCTATTGATTTTATTATGACAAATACAAGTTTATTGATATTTCACATTATTAATTTTGTCATTTAAAATATATGTTAAAATTTCCTTTTGTTAAAAGATTTTTTTTGCTGCACTTATTTTGGTTTGCCTAAAATAAATTTCTGACTTTGTTCTTGCTAGGGTGGTGGAGAAGGAAGGTGTGGAATGAAAGATAAACAAACAATGGCTAAGTGATCGGTGATCCCGTAAGGGTATTAATCATGCAAGATAAAATAATCCGGAAATAAAGTTGGGTCTTGATTTACTGGTTGTCCAATGGTTTAGAATATATCAAATGAAAACATTCTGTCAAAGTATTTATAACCACAATGGCACCCATTTGCTAAAGGTCACAACCTTTGGAAACAATGCACCCATTGAGTTCAAATTTAACTTTACCAGATCATTCCGTTATCTTGCAGGAAGATATACACCTGTTAATTAGAAATGATCAAGTATGGAGAGGTACACCACATTATGATGTGGTCACACTAAATCTAACATCTCCCACTTCATCACATTATAATGAGGTGAAAAATCCTAAGTTGAGCATGTTTACCTCGGTACCAAAATTTTGCCTCATGCCAACTTTCATCTATGAAATTACCTCATAGATCGACATCTAATTATGACTTGGCCATACGTGCGCACGTTTTTGTCACCAATCTGACCGCACCCGTACGAATATGTTCTCCCACTGACAACACATTCCAGATGACTTCAATTCACTATATAACAAGTGAACGACATCAATTTTTAGTGATGGGTTCATAGTCCATACCCAATCACCATTGACGACTTCAGCCGTACACATTTTTCATGTGTCGACCTGTACTAAAATTATTGTTAAGTACTTCCTTTAAGACCCATTCCTGAAGGTTTTCCTTAACACACCTTATCAATGACTTTTTGCTGATCAAGCAGACAATATCATCTAGTTAGCACGTTGCATATTATGGATTTTACATTTCATGCTAACTATGATATCCGTACCTTGTCAATTCCTCTATCTTGTTACCTGACCAAACACATGTTTCCATGCAAGATAGAGTCGCAAAACATCGGTTATCTAGGCATCCCCAGAGTCATCCGACTATGCTCTTATATAAGTAGCTAAACCACCTAGCTAGGTATTTTTCAATCTCATATTAGCTACATGTTCTCTGAATTTTTCCAGAGACAACCCTTTGGTCATAGAGTCAGCCACCATCTTTTCTGAGGGTATATAGTTGACTTTAATTTCACCTCTCTCCACTATGTCCTGAATATAGTGGTAACTTACATCAATATGTTTTCCCTTAGAGCTATTTGCTCCACTTTTTATTAATGAGATGGCAGACTGATTGTCACAAAACATATTGACCAGTTTGACAGGTATATCTAATTGTAAACTGTCAACAAATCGTTTTATCCAGACCGCATTACTAACGAATGTGCTGCAAGCTATGTATTCAGCTTCCATAGTATACTTTGCAACACAACTTTGTTTCTTACTTAACCAAGAAACTGTTGTTCCACCAAACAAGAACACATGACCACTAGTAGATTTTCTATCATCTACATCTCCTGCAAAATCCGCGCCAGTGTATCCTTTTATGTTTAAATCACAAAAACCAAAACATAACTTCAAATTTTTAGTGCCTTTTAAATATCTGAATATTCTTTTGACTGCTTGCCAATGTTCCTTACCTGGATTGGATTGAAACCGACTTACCAATCCGACTACATGACAGATGCCAGGTCTAGTGCTTGTCATAGCATACATTAGGCTGCCTACTGTTTGAGCATACGGGACATTTCTCATTTCCTCAATGTCAGATTTAGTTTGAGGACTTATACTTTTACTAAGACTTTATCCCTTGCAAACAGGCATACTTAAAGAATTACAGTTATCCATATTAAATCTTTTAAGCACCTTGTCTAGATATTTTTCTTGATCTAGATATAATAATTTTGAATTTCTATCTCTTGAAATTCTAATTCCTAGAACATAGGTTGTAAGACTCAATCTCTTGAAGTTCTAATTCCTAGAACATAGGTTGCAAGACCCATGTCTTTCATTTCAAATCTAGACGCCAAGAAAGTTTTGGTTTTTATAATCATATCTGGACAATTTTCTGCTAACAATATGTCATCCACGTATAAAGATAATATTGCTAACTTGTCATCATTTTTCCAGATATAAACACAGTGATCTAATGGACTCACAACATAGCCCATTTCTAAAATGGCTTGGTGGAATTTCAAGATTGTTTAAGTCCATATAGAGATTTCTTCAACTTGTAGACTTTATCCTCATTGCCTTGGTTCTGAAAACCATCAGGTTGCATTATATAAATTTTCTCTTTTAATTCTCCATTGTGAAAAGTTGTTTTAACATCTAATTGATGCAATTCCAAATCCATCTTGGCTACTACAGCCATTAGAATCCTTATTGAGGCAAATTTTGCAACAGGAGAACATGTATCTACGAAATCTATTCCAGGTTGTTGAGTGAAACCCTTGGCTACTAACCTGGCCGTGTATTTCTCCAAACTTCCATCTACTTTGAATTTCTTTCTAAGAACCCATTTGCAACCAATGGCTTTTCTTCCATTTGGGAGATCAGTTAATTCCCAAACATCATTTTTCTTGATCGAGTCAAGTTCTTCATTCATTGCCTCAAGCCATTGAGTAGCATCACTGCTACTCATTGCTTCATTATAAGTAGTAGGATCATCTACTAAGTTATTATGTTTTTCAACTTGAAAAACATAATGATCTTTCAAAAACGTAGATGAACTTCTTGCTCTCTTACTCCCACTTATCTCAGGATTCAAAGCAGGTAAAACAACGTTATGTAATTTGTGTTTGCTCCCACTATTAGATGGCTCGGGAAGAATATGTGGACTGTGTGACAAAGAAAGAAGAGAAGAATCCGAAGATACTTCAGTGAGCAATTCAATTCGTTCAATAGAAGTAACAAGATCAGTGGATTCAAGAAAAATAGCGTCTCTACTTTCTCTTAATCTACGTTCGGGATGGTGTAGACCGCCCGAACTTCCTCCGCGTGCCCCCCTTTCGGAGAGGGCGCAGATTGGGTTCTAGCTACTACAGTTCGGACTCCTGTCACGGTTATGAATCTAATCTCACAAAGTGCAATGTAAGACTGATAAATCACCAAAGAGTCCAAATCCGGCAATTAGTTTTGAAAAATCAATTTTGAATCAAAAAGCGCCAAACAAGGATTGTTTTACCAGATTTCAGAGTCGCCACCTAAATATTTTATTTTGAGAAATTTAGGAAACCTTGACTCGTGCCTAAGGCCACGTGTCCGTCATCACCAAAGTTGCCTCGGCTAGGGAACTTGGGTACGAGAGGGGAAGGTCCTGAAATGAGCACCCCTGCTCGCTTGATCAAAGGATCGGCCTCTACTAACATGATATGTTGTTTTATAAACACATGTGTTCTTATCCGGTTATTAATCTAACTTTACTATGTGACGCACACATACAAGTGTAGACTAAGATCGCAAGAATTGGAACAAAACAACTCATGTTTGTTTTTGAAAATGGTTTAAAAGTGCTACTCGCAAGTAGGCTAAAGCGCGATTTGCCACCCTCAAGTGGGCTTAGAAACAACATGATGTGTCACTCCGCAAAGTGGGCTTAAAACTAACATTTAATGAATTGTCCCAATTCAAGAAATAAAGCCTCCATCCAAAGGCATTCATGCAATTAATCACTTAAGCAAATAGCCTAATGGCAAGTATGCTAACATGGCAACACTCACACTCATGCAATATGCTAAAGCGTAAGCA